CTACAACCCATGTCTAAGCAAAAGCTTGTCGAGGAGCGAGGGAAGAAGGGAGAAATATAAGGAAGCGTATCTCTGTCTCTCTCTTCTCTCGGACCTCTGAAGCATGTATGTGTACCTGGGAAGATTTCCTCTGCAGTAGGTGTCAAAGGAAAGACTGCTGTGTTCATGTCTTATGGGGTAGTGAGGAGAAGTTTTTTCGCGGTGGGGAATCATGTCCCTCCCCGTCCTGTTTTGCTAGAGAGGGACAGCACCGCGTACAGGACGGCATGTCGAATTCTGGTGATTTTTTTGACTAAAGTGTGACCGGTGGCAATATCGATCAGCAATGCCGCACAAACTTTTGCGCGCCGAAATATGCGTGCGACAGCTTTAACCTACCACTTCGGTGGAAAGCGGTTTTCTGTTCGATACGGTGTCGGGAGTGCAGAGGGGGGAGGGCTTGGCCCTTGTGGTTGAAGGTGGCAAGGAAGTAGGAACAGGGGGTGGCAGTGTCGGGGGTCTGGGGGAACATGGGCTTGAATGGGGGTTGCCTCAGAAAGGGCAAGACGGCGGATGTTTCTCTCTTGGTGTGACCGGTGGCAGTATCGATCAGCAATGCCGCAAAGACGTTTGTGCGCCGAAATATGGGTGCGACAGCTTTAACCTAACCACTTCGGTGGAAAGCGGATTTCTGTTCAATACGGTGTCAGGGGTACCAGGGAAGACGGGCCGAGTTTTGTTTGATTTCGGGTGGATGAGGTTGGGGTTTTGTTCGCTTTTCTCCATCTAAGGTTCGTGCCTAGAGTTCAGCTGTAGTGTTTCGACCAAAGTTTTGTTGACTTAGAGGCAAACATTCCTAGCTATTGGGCATCGAGTTAATTTGGCTTGGCATGACGGCCTTTACGACCGACTTTTTATGTATGTCTGCATTTATCTGCAATTAATTGTCGGAGGGCAAACAAAATATTAATAATAGAATGTGACGTACATTCTCGTCCTAGAAATAAGAGGGAGGAATTGGCCGCTGTCAGTCCTGTGACACATTTGAAAAGGGGCACACGGGAGGGCACACATCACCTACGATCTTGGCAACACACAGCAGACACAGCGCACCCAGCACATAGCACACAGACAAGGAGGAGTGTGTGGAACATGGAAGCAACACGCCCTCGCTGCTGCTGCTGCTGCTGCTGTGCCGGAGGCGCACAGCTAAGAATAATGTTGTTGTACCTGTAGCGGCAGGAAAGAAGCGGCTTGATGATGATGGTCAGTGTTGAGAAGCACGATGAACACGACGTATACACCACTATCGGTACAAGAGGTTCATCGGCTTGTCAAGCCTACAGTATTTCCCCAGACTTTTTCTTCCTCATAAATTTGGCTGCAAAGAATTTTGTCTAGACTGTTTGTATGCTCGAGGGAGAATCAAAATGAGCCGATGACCTGCTTGTATCGACCTGGCAAGCACAGCGCTGATCACACGGATTGCAACCCTGGGGAGACGTGTTCGTGGCTGCAAAGCCAGACCGAACACGGGCATTAGCTTTTGTTGAGAAGCACGATGATCACTACCCACTAGTCAGTGCTGACTGGTGGTCTGGTGGTCATCGTGCTTCTCAACAGTCAGACGCAAGCAAACCAACGCACACCAACAATACGGTTGGCGCACTGACGCAGCGGCACCACATTGCACTCCACTCACTCTAGCAACTGCTGATGTTCTTTTGTGTATGGTGGTGTGGCGCAGAACAACTGAGATCAGGCAGATCAGAGATATCACCTGATGCTCGATTATTGCCGAGAGAGAATATTCATGTGTAGTCTACAGCAGTACTGTAGTAGCAGCAGAGTAATGTCGGCGGGAGCTTTCACTGCACACATCATCACAGGCGCGGATCTCAAGACGGCACCACCTGTCTCATAATGTTGATCGCTCAAATCACTGCTAGAGCTGCTTGCTGCACTTGGCTGCCGCTGGCCTCCTGTTGAGACGATGGCGTGCTTGCTTGTGTTGAAATGGCTGTATACACAGGTAGACAGGCACACGATTCTATTTTAGTTTTTTTTCCAAGCACTTGCTTGCGCGCTGCCAAACAGCACCGAGAGTGGATGAAAGGGGACAGTCGTTCACAGCGCAGACACATCTAGGTGGTCTCCTGCTCACTCTGCATCATCTGCAGCAACCCGCTTGTGAATCGACGTTGTGGTCGTCGAGATATACAGGTGTTTCGCGAGAGAAAGGCCTAGACTTTCTTCCTTTATTATTTTATACTTCGAAGTATATGTTGTTTTTCCAAAGTTTTCTTGGCACTTGTGTTCAGCGTGGTCGGCCTAAAATGGCATGACTCCATACTGCAAGCAACTCATGTTTTCATGAACAGAACGCCGACACGAAAAACTACCTGGGCTCTCTTCGTCGCCTCCTGGGCATCGTGAGCCGCGACGGCGGTACTGTCCCCGAGTGCCTTTGTCATCTGCTTTTCCTTGCCGATGACACATTCCCAGCTGCGGCCAACAACAACTTTCGCTCGGTGTTGGTGACCTTTCACCTGGCCTGTTGGCGTTCCACTCACCCCCCCCTCTTCCTAGTAACCGTTTCCTTCCCAGCTGTCCTGTAATCCTCCACTTGTACGACCTCCGCCTGTGGCGCCTTCCCAGGCGAGGGGGTGTCGCCGGTGCTCGCGCTCGACCGAGAGCGGGTGGCCGCGCCCTCTTTCCACGTCGACATTCAGGACCTATGGCAGGATAGGGGCACCCCCTGGATACGGGTAGATTTTCTCCAACGGACACCCCCACCAGGCTTACGGGCACACCTGCCCCCTTATGGTCACTTCCCCCTCAAACCTCTCCCGGCGGCACGTTCCCACGTGAGGAGGTGGCGCAGAGCAGTTCGACGTCGTCGTCGGTTTCCTCCTCCCCGTCGTGGCCATCTTCTCCTCGTCGGCGCCGTCGTCAGTGTCCATTCCCGTGGTGGAGTTCGAGTAAGCGACTGCTGTGATGGCCGTGGGCACTTGCTTTAGTACCCATGACGGGCACGGGCAGCCCATGGGCCGCGCATGAGGAATGTCAATGTGCTTAGTGCACGGGGTGCCAATAAATGGGGCATTTACGTGGGTGCCCACCATGGCCAGCCTACGGGCGGCAGTCCATGCGGGGCACGTGCGTGGGTGTCCACGATGGACGGTCCATAAAACGGCCCATGATAGGCAATTGGGTCAGCGCGCGAGTGCCCGTCATGGGTTGCCCGTGGAAACCCATGAGCCACCAATGGGCACTGTCCATGGGCTGCGAACCACGGGCAGGTGCCAATGGGTGCCCATGGACAGCCCCATGGAATACCCAGATGGGCAGTTGCGTGAGTGCCCACCATGGGCTGCCCATGGGCTGCCCGTCATCGGCACGTGCCCATGGGTAGCCCGTGAAGGACAGCTGCGTGAGTGCCCATCGTGGGTCACCCACGGGCGGGCCACTGCCCATGGCCAGCCCATGGGCAGCCCATGATGAGCATACTTATCCTAAGCCCATGAAAGGCACTTCATGGGCACTTCATGGGCCGCCCATGGGCCCACCCATGGACGGTTTAGCAAAACTGTCAGCAGTATGGGAGATTGCAGAAAGTGTGCCGGCCGGCGTGCCAGACATGCCTAGCTTACGTGTACAGGCATTTTCATGGAACGCACCCACTTCCCGCGATACTTTGCATGAGTGTGCGTACCATCCCGATGGTATTACAGGCAGGCAGGCAGGCAGGCAGGCCGGCCGGCCGGTAGGAAAGTTGACGAACAATCCAGCGGCTTGTCACATCCAACGATGTTGCTGCGATTTCTTGATCGCAAGATATCCCGTAGGATGGACAGCGGTCAGTACAAGGGGTGCCTCGAAGTCCTCAACATCTTGACTGCTGCAAATCCTTTGCGCTAGCTTCGCACCGTTTTCAGCCTTTTACACGTTAAAGAATTGAGTCGTAATGCTTTGATTAAACATTAAAGTGAGTGCATCCTGCGAAACCACTGGTCTGCGCACGGGTTGAGTCTCTACCTGTTGACCCCAACAAACGTTGCCACGGATTTAACCTTTTATATTTGGACTGTTGTCCCCCATCACACCGAATCGACACAAATACATGCTTCATTAGTTTTCCTTTGAACGCAAGTCGACGCCAGGCACCATCAGACGAAATTGACTGCCTCAACGATAATCATGACACCAGCTCGGAGTATGTACGATGACGACGGCAGCAGCAACCGAACAGGCCAGAGATTACCTCTCCGTGAGAGTCACGACCTCCCCCGCACTCTCACTAGCTATGAATCACAGCTTCGACCAGAACACCCCTCACCAGAACCCCCCGAACCTCCGTCCCCTACTCCCCCACCTCTAATCCCAAAATCCCAAATCCGACACGTCCAAGCCCCCCACCCCCATCTTAAATATGACCACCCGTGTGGTACCCGCTGCCTCGAGTTCTACACAGCGTTGTGATGGCAGGGTTGTGGGCCAGAGCGCGTTGGCCATTGGTTCGAAGGGGTGGCCTCGATAGGGACCGGGTAGTTTCTTTTTTTTTTCTCCCACTCCTCCCATCAGTGATCCTTCCTGTGGACATCGAGCCGCTATCGCCTCGTACACGCTAGCAACGTCTCCCATCTGATCGCCCGCGCCGGGCAGAGACGAATTGGAGAAGACGGCTTGTCGTGCTTGCCGCGCTTGAAGCTGAGTTTGGGGCGGCGAACGCAAGGTAACGACATGCATGACAAAAAGCGGCGCTCCCCACACTGAAGGTGAGCGGAGCCTGGTGAAGCATTTGAGAGGAAAGGGAGACATTCGAGAAGATGCGGGGAGGGAGGTAGGAGTTCGAATTGTAGAAGAAACAAATGGAGATGATGTGCTCACCACGATATTCGGCGAGAGGTCGCACCCGTTAAACATGGAGTCCCGCAGCAACTGTAAAGCCGCAAAGAAAGATCCGGCGGCAGGGGTTCCGGCTGGAGCATGTGGAAGCGGCTGACCATCCCAGGCTGCGAGTGCCAAGGCAAGCGCCGAATTGAAGAAGCAATTGTTGTTCTCGTTGGGGATGAGATGGGTGATTCTGCGCGTTGCACCTGGGCCGTGGCGACCGGTCCGTTTTGGTTGTTTGTTGGGCGGCCTTGGGACGGCTTCTCCGATGTCGTTCAGAGAGGCGTAGGCAGGGGCGAAGGAGCCCGGGTGTATGAGGAAAAGCTCCATTGTAGCCTCGCTCGTCCGGACGGTGCAGGTAGTTGACGACGGCGATGATGCCTGGGTTTAGCTCATGGGTGGTGGTGCTTCACCAGCACTCGAAGTAGCAAGCATTTGGCCTGGTTGGTTTTCATGTGCATCATTTGCGCACGTGGCTGTCAGCCGCAGTGTGTAGGGTGGACTCGGACAGAGAAAAAAAATCTGTGAACAGAGGAGGGAAATGGGTGGACTAAGGACCGTTTTAAACGGACCGACTTTTTTGTCAAAATTTTCGACAGTTGTCTTTCAAAAACTTGGAACCTGTGTGCAGTCATTTTAAACGTGTGACGTAGACTTGTGCAACTAACTTGTGTCAAAAAAAATGACGCCGTCCGTGAGTTGTAGCGCTCAGTTCGAGACAACACAGACGACACAACACAAACCGCGGAAAACACGACATCATGGACACCGACATGGATATCACGACCACCCAGCGTGGCCGGCAGACCAAAACCCCGGCGAAATTCCAGCAGACGGGCTCTCTCGGTGCCGCCGTAGGCGGTGGAGGCTTGCTCTCCAGCAAGATAGTGCTGCTGCCTGGCATCTCGGGGAACACTCATGTTACCACGGGAGGCGCTGCCGCCACCAACACTCCGCCGGCGAGGGGTGGCAACCACTGCTCCTACCCCCCCGGGAAAAGGAAAAAACAAAGCGGCGGACGCGAAGCAACAACTGCAAGCCATCATGGCGGACCGCCGTTTTTTTTTTTTGTATTGCGCGTGCCCGTGGGCGAGGAGAGCCGCTCGAATCTGTAGGCGCGCCGCGCTTTCTACGGTCGGCCATGACTCACACACAACCCTAGCTGACTTTCTACGGTGAGGGGCACTCGTGGTGCAGACGCAGCAGCCCTCGCGTGCCTCTGCAAGGGTACTTTGGAAAGTGCTCCAAATACTTTGAGAGGGTTGTCAAAAAGTTGGAACGAAGTGGAGCAAAGTTTTCGCGCCCAACTTCGTTCCAAATATTTTGAAAAAATATGGACAAACGCCTACATACAGGTTCCATTTTTTTGACACTTTCAAACATTTTGACAAAAAGTCGGTCAGTTTAAAACGGCCCTAATGATGTGCATCATCGGCGCGCCTGATCCGACAAGTTCTTGTCGACGGAAAAACTGGTCATTGCCCCACAGCAAGCGATAGCTGCTCAAACGACTGTGAGAGGTCTTGAAATCGTCTCAGCTACACAGAACTGCTGGTAGTTCTCGGAGGTTCGCAGTGTGGGCGGAGATCGACCTTTCAGCCCCGGTCGGGCAAGGGGTGGGCTATGCGAACGAAAATTACTTAGACAGAAAAAAAAAACTTATCCACCCAAGCTCTACCGCATTTATTTGACATCTAGACTATCCTCTACATAAATCAACCAATCTGGTCGATCTGATGTAACGCAGATCCTTCTTGTCGACGGAGAAACTGGTCGTCGCCCCACAGCAAGCGATAGCTGCTCAAACGACTGTGAGAGGTCTTGAAATCGTCTCAGCTACACAGAACTGCTGGTAGTTCTCGGAGGTTCGCAGTGTGGGCTGAGATTTGATTTGCAGACCCGGTCGGTCAAGGGGTGGACTATGCAAATGAAAATTGGAAAGGGCGTGTTTGGTACGGTACCGGTATTTTCGGTAAGGTATTTACATCGTACCGAACGTACCGAACACTTCGGTAAGGTATTGAAGTCCATACCGAACGTACCGGTATTTTCGGTGAGGTATTGAAATCCGTACCGAACGTACCGAGCATCCCGGTATGGTATGACAGTTCATACCGGTACCGTACCGAACATCTCGGTATTTGTACCGAACTTACCGAAAACTTCGGTAAGGTATTCAAGTCCATACCGAACGTACCGGTATTTTCGGTAAGGTATTGAAGTCCCGTACCGAGCGTACCGAACACTTCGGTAAGGTATTGAAGTCCATACCGAACGTACCGAACATCCCGGTATGGAATGGCAGTCCATACCGGTACCATACCGGCGATACCGCTATTTGTCCGGTATTTCTCCCGAGCGTCGCCCCTTCTCTCCGATACCCCTGCGGCACCACAAACTCGTCGACAGCTTGCAATTTCTCCGCCGGCACTACTCTGTGTCGTCCGTCGTATTGTAGGCAGGAGCAGGCCGTATCACTGGCACACTGCTACCTCCTCCACCATCCACAACAACCTCTGCCTCAGCAGGTGCTGCCGCCGGCGCTGACGATGATGAGCTTTGGTCGCCAGCTGGGGGGTCATCGTTGTTGTTGCTGGGGGGGGATGGTGTGTTGCTCATGAGGACGGCTGGTACTGGTGCGCACCACCAGCTGTACGCTGTACCGATTGAGTAGGGTACGCCGGTACACTGCTGTGCTGCTC